TTCCTAAGGAGAGCCTCGAAGCCATTTGCCTTTGGGAGGATTCAATACGTGTGGCGTCTGTGATGCTGCCCTGAGGATGCCAACGGGGCTTCGTGTAAAGCACGTTTTACGAAGTTGTTCTATCGTAGGCCCTCCGGGGGCTGCTCTTTCACACCTGAGCTGGTTTTCGGCACACGATCCTGTGTTTCTTCACTGTTACGGACAGGACCTGGCTGAGGGAGACATTTCGTATATTCATACGGAACGTTGGCAGAAAGCAGGGTACATACTGCTGTCCTGCCATCTGATGTAACTGCTTGTGGCAGTAACAGTATCTGGTGTCAATTTGAGGATTCAGAGTGAAGGGGTGGAGTCAGGTCATAGCCAATGAGGCCTCTGTGTGGGCATGGCCTTCTCCTGAGGATTCTGGGAATTCCCGTATTCCTCCTTGGAGGCGGGAGACTCTCTCTGCTCACTCCCTTTGAGACATCCCTGTGGAGAAGACACATGGGGAGAGGCTGATGGAGCCAGACCCCTGGAGCCTGAGGAGCCACATGGAGACCCCTGCCAGCGCTGAGATGTTTCTAGCGCCACTGGATCCACAAGACTTTCCACCCACGGGCCTGTGATCTTCCTACACTCAGCATGATTGCATGTGTTGCCTAAGTCTGATGAGGATTTTCTAGATTGGTATCAGAGATATGGGCTAATATCAGACTTATGGACTGGGCTGGGGTGTTTTCTCAATATTCAACTTCTCTGGTATATAAAGATCTTTCTTATACCCATATGAGTGTCTATGAATTTGTTTCTCTAGTCTACCCAGACTCACACATCACTGTCTGCATTGTCCTAGGGGAGACTCAGCTTCCTTGACCTTGAACCCAGCAGCCCTCCTGAGTTGAAGGACTTCCAGTAGATTAACTGTTCCATGGAAGTGAGTTGAACTGAGCCCTCTGTACTGCTGTGTGGACTAATGAGCTGTTATATTCCTCATGCTGCCCATACCCACCCTCATATAAGTGCCCTGGTTGTGTTTCTCTAGAGAACCCCACCTAACACGAAGCAGCTCTACCCAGCAAGGGTAGGCATCTGGGAGAGAATGTGCCGAGGGACGACAGCCGCTGTGTAAAGCCCCGTTTCACTGGAAAGCAACGGCTCAGGACAACTGCTTGACAGAGCCCCTGTCGCCGCCGCTGTGCCATGGTGGGCCAGGACGCCTGCGTCAGACCGTCTGGCAAAGATGCGATGAAGAGAAACTGCTTTTAAAATCTGCTTCCAGGCACATCTATTTTCTCCCCAGGTCCCCATGGCAAAGCAACCGTCTCCTCTCCCTGGGTTCACCCGCCCTGCTTTCTACGCCGACACCCATCCCATAGCATGTGGCCTTTGCACCTGGCCTCTTGCACTGAGCAGAATGTTTTCAAAGTTCATCTCTTTTTTAAAAATCAGAATTTCATTCCCTCTTACGGTTGAATAATATTTTCAGGGGCAGCGGATTATTGGGTGCGGCTCCTCGAGGCTGCGGCTCGGGCGCCATGGGCAGTTCCTGTGGCACGGACACGTGGCTCTGAAGCACAACGGAAATGTTTGAAAGGAGATTATTCAGAGAACGGCGATTTCATTTGTTTGTAAAAATATAGTTATGGCTCTGGAATAATTTTTAGATCGTTATGAGGGACAGGATTGGCTCTCGCTTCTCAAAAGTTTTCCTACCCCTTGTTCTAGGGAAAGTCTCCAACCCCCACCAAGCGACCTTCAGGGGTGCGCTCAGAAGGTGGGGGAGAGACGGATAGGATTCACCTGCATTACAAACAGGCTTCCCTGGAATGCCCGCCTGCTGTGCACAAAATGAGCCTCTGGGAAGCAGGAGGAGGGATCTCATGACCAGCAAGGGCCGGGAGTGGTGCATCCTCTGGACCCGAGATCCCTGCGCAGTGAAGCCCCTGGATCCGGAGGACAGCTAGACCCTCGGAGGAAGAGCGGCAGAACCAGGAGGCAGCGCCTGGAACAGGGATGGACTTCCCGACCCTCGGAGCAAGGAGAGCTGAGAGCTTCGGTGCAGGAGGCTGCCTTGCAGAGGAGGGGACGCTGGGCTTGCTGACCCACAGAAGTGGAGCTGAGGGTCCTAGGGCTGAAGCTTACCAGAGTGGGTGCCTCTGGGCACTTAATTCCGGGAGCTTGAACTGAAAGCCTTCGGGTTGGGCCTAGAGCAGAGTGGGGCGTTCCTTTAGACACTGTTGGCCGACCAGAAAGACCTCTGTAAGACGTCCTGATCCTCTCCCTGGAGGTATAACCTGCTGACTCTCATCCTGAGTGTTGTCTGGGGGGTCCGTGCAGCCGTTGCGATGGACAGATTAGAACCTGGAGAGGGAAGACAGAGAATAGGGGTGAAGCCCCCACCCCGGTCCATTGTAGGGGTGTGGTGTAAACCCGCCCCTACACACACGCCCCTGTAGAGAATCTGGGTCATTTCCACCCTAAGTGACTGTGAAGAGTGTGCCCGCCAGTGGATGCTGGCGGCCAGGTTCTTGTCAGGATACCTGTTTCCAAAGCTTTGGGGTCTCCACTCGAGTGGACTCACTGGGTCATCTGGTAACCCTGACACAGTCTCTGGACAAATGCATATCTTTCAAGAATGTCCTTCAAGAATGTTCCTCCCAGTGAAAGAAGCTAGCTAGTCTGGGGGGTTGCTGACACCAGAGATGGGGCAGATGCTATTGACCACCAGAAACGGAGGCAGCTGGCCTGTGTGACCGGACACAGGTTTAGCTCCCAAACTTCCTTGGGTCTCTCTCTCTCTCTCTTTCCCTTTTGACTTCTTTCAGAACCTGCACCCTCTTGAACACATCGTGCTTACTCAAGGCCGCCGGGATCCCCACGCTCTGTTGGAAGAGCGGCGGGCGGCCTGTAGCTGATGGCTGCCAATGTTACCGCTTATGGGAAATGATAAGGATGTCCAAGAAGGAAACGGCAGGAACGCTCCTTGAACGTGTGTGGGTGTCCGCTGTTGACTCGGGCGGAAGGTCTGATGGAAAAGAGGCGGACAGAAGCTTACTTGGGACTGGGGGCTAACCCCCACTCTGGATTAAAGGCCCCTTGTCCCTTTCAGACGTTGGGCCGTTGGGAGTCTTACTAAGGGCTACTTCCACTCCGCTGTCGCCAATGCACCAAAAAAGCCGTGCCTCCTGCTCCCCGGCAGCAGGTGTCTTCTAGCACAGTCTCTAAGGCTCACCAAAGGACCTCTGCTGGGGCCCAGTGTCTGGAGGGTAATGCTCGCTTGGGGTGACCCTGCGACGCGGGGCACGCTTCCTGCCGCCTGACTGCACAGAGGCCTCCCCTTAGCACAGCAGAGACGCCAGTTCGCTGTGGGCTGGGCCCTAGTCCGCCTTCCTAATGCGCTCCAGCAGGGATACCGCCCCCGAAGGGTCTGTGGGCCACCCGGGCACGTGCACGGAGGCTCCCAGGCTCGCCGGCCCTCACCTGCTGGGTGAGCTGGGGTGGAGGCTAGGCTGCTCTGAAGGGGACCTCAGGGCTCGCCAGTGCCAGCTGGGTAGGTGAGCTATGCTCCCAGGTCCAGGCCAGCAGGGTGCCCCCTGCCTCCTCCCCATCCTCCCCTGCGCCCAGCCACAGTGCGGGTTCTCCTTGTAAGCGAGGGTTGGGCCCCTCCGCTCACCTTCGGACCAGAACCTAAGCACACGGGCCCACCCAGCTGCAAGGGAGAATGGGAACAGTGCCCTCGCCCGGCTGGCACGCGGAGACATTGGGGGGAAGGGGAGAGGGCGTTGGAGGGCTCCCCGCCACCTCTGGCACACCATTCAGTGAGTGAGATCTCAGGAAGCAGGCTTGGGGCTCTGCCAGGCCCCAGCTGGGTGAATTTGAAGTTGGGCCCCTCATGGGAGACTGCCACAGCCAAGGTGGGTGCTAGCTAGTGCCCGGCTAGAGCAGGGTAGTAAAGTAACCGGGTCCCATCCTTGCTAGCTGTGGGACTTAGACAAGGCATTAACGTCTCCAGGCTGATATCTGTCATGGCTTCCAGAGTGCCCGTAGTAACGGCGGGAAGCCCAGGGGTTCAAGTTGATGGCAGACCCATCGAGACAGCGGTGGGTACAAACTACGCCCAGCTCCCTGCCTCTAGAGCAGCAGTTCTCAACCTGTGGGTCGAGAACCCTTTGGGGGGGTCGAACAACCCTTTCACAGGGGTCGCCTGATTCATCACAGTAGCAAAATGACAGTAATGAAATAGCAACAAAAATCATTTGATGATTGGGGGTCAGCCCCACCTGAGGAGCCGTATGAAAGGGTCGCGGCCTGAGGAAGGTGGAGAACCCGTGCTCTAGAGAGTCCCTCGAACCAGGGTAAAGAAATGAGGAAAACATGGAGCACAAACGGCAACAGTGTCACTGGGGACTGAGGTGCGCCTGACGGAAGCAGGGCACTTTCAGAGGCCTCTTGTGTATGTGGGACGATGAAGCAGGAAGAGTGGTGTCTACGGACGAATGCTTTAGTCTCAGGTA